CTTCTGGCTTTTTCTGCTTATGTGGTGCTGAGGAATCGAACCCAGGGCCTCAGGCATGTAAGGCAAGCGCTCTACCACTGAGCCACCTTCCCAGCCTGAGTGTGAGACTCTTTTTTTGTGTGTGTATAAGTAATACCTGTTAATCAAAAAATAAAGTAAATAATGACAGACCAGAGTGTGCAAAGGGATGGGCAAGCTGGAATCTAAAGAAGCCCTGAGTGTGAGACTCTTATGTCCAGTTAGGGAACAAAAAAGAGAAAAGAAAAAAAGATCTGGAAGTGGAGCTGTGTATCAAAATGTAGAGAGCTAACCTTGAGCAAAAAAAACTAAGTGACAGTGCCTCAGGACCTGAGTTCAAGCCCCAGGACTAGCGCGTGCGCGCGCGCGCGCACACACACACACACACACACACACACACACACACACACACTACTAGCACAGAGTTTAGGCATATAATTTAGAAATATACATTTATCAAAGATACATGCTTGACTAGTTGCTCTTACCTAGTATAAGATGTATGTAGGGGAGAGAGGGGAGAGTTCTTCTTTTCAGCAAGGACTCACTATGTCCCAGTGCAATTTCATTATAACTTCGTGTAATGACTCAGAATGAAGTGATAAGGCTTCAGAAAGTGCAACACAAAAATCCCCACTGAGGGCTGGAAAGGCGGCTCAGTGGTTGAGCACTTGCCTTGCATGCATGAGCCTCTGGGTTCAATTCCTCAGCACCACATAAACAGAAAAAGCTGGAAGTGGTGCTGTGGCTCAAGTGGTAGAGCGCTAGTCTTGAGCTGAAGAGCTGAGGGACAGTGCCCAGACCCAGAGTTCAGGCCCCACGAAAAAACAAAAAACAACAACAACAAAAACCCCGTGGAATGGGAATAACCGGTGGAGAGAATGAGAGAAGTTAACCCAAACACAAATCTCCTCCTCTCCCCTACCCATACAAAACAGTCCTGGTGAGTGGCAGCCAATGTTTATGAAGGAATTTTCACCTGCAATTGTTTTCAGAAGCGAACTCAGGGATTTTTTTTCTTGTTTCTTTACAGAAAGCAGAAGTGTGTCGTCAGGCCCTAGTTTACTGACTGTCTTCCTGGGAGTGGTGTGCATTGCAGCTCTGATGCTGCCTACGCTGGGGGATATGGAATCGCTTGTGCCTCTCTACCTCCACTTAAGTGTGAATCAAAAATTAGTAGCTGCTTACATCTTAGGTAAGGGTTTTCAAGATGGTTTGGGATGTATGTAGGGTTTTATGGGGGGGGGTCTTTTCTGGAAAACAGATGAAAGCTAGCAAGCATGAGGTGCTGAGTTCAAAATAATACAAATAGGGCTGGGAAGGTGGCTCAGTGGTAGAGCGCTTGCCTTGCATGCCTGAGGCGCTGGGTTCGATTCCTCAGCACCACATAAGCAAAAAGAAAAAAAGCCGGAAGTGGCGCTGTGGGCTCAAGTGGTAGAGCACTAGCCTTGAGCTGAAGAGCCGAGGGACAGCGCCCAGGCCCAGAGTTCAGGCCCCACGACCAGACCCAAAAACAAAACAAAATAACACACACAAGCAAAACAAAATAACACACACACACACACACAGAGTTCAGGCCCCACGACCAGACCCAAAAACAAAACAAAATAACACACACAAACAAAACAAAATAGCACACACACACCCCAGACCCAAAAACAAAATAACACACACGAGCTAGGCATGGTGACTTATGTCTAGCTTCTTGGGAGGATGAGATCCAGACCAAGCAAAGCTTGAATGACTTCCTGTCAACCAGTAAAATGCTGGGCAAGACAAGAACCTGTTAACTCAGCTACTTGAGAAGCATAAACAGGTTTGTAGCTAGCCTGGGAATAAACGTGACATCCTACTTGATAAATAATGAAAGCAAAAAGGATTTGAGGGCATGGCTCAAGTAGTAGAACATCTTCCTGTCAAGCACAAGGCCAAACACCATTATTGGCAAAAAGAGAAACAGATTAAGGATTGCTTCAAAAGCTTCTTCAACATCAGGCTCAGTGGCTTATAACTATAATCCTAGCTACTTAGGTGGAGATCAAGAAGACTACTGTTGGGGCTGGGAAGGTGGCTCAGTGGTAGAGCGCTTGCCTTGCATGCATGAGGCCCTGGGTTCGATTCCTCAGCACCACATAAGCAAAAGGAAA